CAAAGCGAAATTGAAGCTTTTTAAACATGTTTTGCCACGAAAATAAACGAAATTAATGAAAAAACAAATAAACAATGACATTCCTCGAGGCTCAACACTTGGACCTTCGCAAATTTTCAATAGAATCTAACATAAATAAACTAAATTATTTTGAAGAAAATAAAAATAAATCGACGAGTTTCATCATTAAAAATATAATGGGATAATGGTATTCCTCAAGGCTTCATGCTCGGACCTTCCATATACATAAATTTGAAAATAATTTATACAATTTATTATTAAGAGAAATAATTTACAATAAAACAAAAACTAAAATAGGATTAAAATTCTGGTATTCCTCAAGGCTCAATGCTTTGACCTTTCAAAATATATACAAATTTTAATCATGTATTATTAAAAAAAAACAAGTATATAACAAAAAAAAACAAATAATTTAATCATTACAAATCAAATAATGGTATTCCTCAAGGCTCAATTTTTTTTTAACAACTAGGTTATAAAAATATAGATTAGTGGTTAATTGGAAATTAGTAAAGATTACGGAGGTATTAGTGGTTGAAATTGGTGATCTTTCCCATGAATAAGCTTTGATTGGTCGGACAGTGTTCGAGAATGCAGAGGAAAGGATGGTCCGCTTTGAATACTCGTGTCGGTGGTTGTTGCATGGGCATGGCGCGACAACACATGATAACAGCTAAAAAGAATACAAACACAGAAATAGTAACAAATACGTTTAATAATTGTAAAAAAGTTACATTAAGATTTAGCAAAATAAACTAAAAATATTTGCTGAAATAACAATAAGTATTTCTTTTTGTCTCGTTGGGGAATCTTTCTATTGAAATCATAAATACTGGAAACGTTATTATAGAAATATGATTTTTTATGTTATTTTAAAATTAGTGTAAAAAATTAATACAGATAACAATAATTATCAGAATAACAGGTTTTGTCTTTGGGATTTTGAACAAATTGTTAATTTAATAATGAAGACGCGCGTCCTCAAAAGCTGGTAACTTTTCCCAAGAAGAGGAACTGCTTGGTCTTTTGATAGTGGATGGCATAAAGGAATGGATGATCCGCCTTGAATTCAATGGGAGCCATGCATGAATCCAGCATGATGAGCATCGCTAAAAAGAAGGATTTTACATGTTCATCTCTTTACGTTTTCATCTACAGATTTTCTTTATATTTCGTAATATTTCTATATAATAATACCTCATCCAATAAGTTCGTAAGATACCGTATACATGAAGCCTCTATCGAAAAATACATATGATTTTTAGGAAGTACCAACCTTCAGACGACGTGTGTCAAACGTGTGTTTCATGACAATCTGACGTTTAGTTCACAAGTTACAGTGGTTTTGTAATTTTCAAAAAAATGGAAAAATCTGAATTTCGTGTGTTCATAAAACACTACTTTTTGATGAGAAAAAATACCGTTCAAGTAAAGCAATGGCTTGATAATTATTATGGGGACTCTTCTCCGTCGAGACAAATGGTAGAGACGTGGTTTGCTGATTTTAAACCTGGTCGTACAGACACAAATGATGACCCAAATTCGGCAATCGTTGCAGAAAACATAAAAAAAAGTCCACAAAATGGTTTTGCCCTATCATAAATTGATGTTGTTTGAGGTAGTTGACACCTTGAAGATACCAGAAGGCTGTGTATTCACCATTTTGTATGAACATTTGATCATAAGAAAGCTTTGTTCGAAATAGGTACAGTATTCAAGCTCAAAGTGGACCAAAAACAACGAGTTGATGATTTCGAGCGCTGTTTGTAGCTGTTCAAGCGAAATAGAAAGGAATTTTTCATGCAGTATGTAACAAAGATGAAACCTAAATCCACATTTAAGAATCAAATCGATCGTCAGGTGAGTAGACAGCAAAGGGTGAAAGTCGTATTTTGAGGTCAAAGATGAATCGTTCTACAAGGAAGGTATCGAAATGATAGAGAAGCGTTGGTATGAATGTGTCACTCTTGAAGGAGACATGAATAAAGTCGAATATTGCCCAAAAGTTGTTGTTTTATTGGTCATCCTACAAACTTATTGAGTGAGGTCTTATACTATCATTTATGTAAAGTTCTAGTAAATTCTCTTAAATTTCAATAAATTTCATTAAAAAATCTAAGTCAAGTTCCCAAATATAAAGTGTCATAAAAGAAGCGTTACGGTAGAAATATTCGTTTAAAAGTAATTTAAAAAACGACATAGTAACGTTCATTTTATGACATTTTCTACATATTTCTAAATATCTATTAAAACAAAGACTCGAATGCAAAGCAAATTAAAAACTTATGATTGATGAATATGTTAGATTTAATGGTTTAAATTTTCTATTTAAAAAAAAACTACATGTATTCTCTTCAAAATTCTAAAGTTTTCTTACAAAATCAATATAGGAAAACGACAAAAAGACTATCACAAATATGTTGATGGAAATGAAACTTTTTTTTTACTCCAAATATTATTTTCACTATATATTAATTATACAATAATTTACAAATGTTTTACACATTTTACAACAAAATAATTTAGTTTCAAATTTCAAATCTCTGTATTTTTCTTATATAATTTTCTTATTTTTATACAGATTTTTATTTTACATATTGAATCTGTGTATATTCATTTATATATAAAGTTTATGTACAAAACTAATAATTTTCAGAGATTGGATTTGACAAATTTGTACAAATTATTTTTTTCACACACTCAAAACTTTTCCAATAAACATAAACTCTTTGTTCGGTCTATAATGAACGCCGTACGCGAATGGATGATCTGCTTTGACTAATGGAAAATACGTACATAGTGACGTAAGTAAGCGCCGATTGAATCTTTGCTACAATAAATAGAATCAATTGAATTATCAGAGTTATGGAAAGTTAAACAACACGATTCTACTTGAATTGGTGATAGATACCATTAAAGACACACTTTAAGAGAATATTTGAATTAGTTACAAGTCTAAATCTACTACAAATTGAACGTCAATAATTTTCCCTGAAATATTATTAGATTGTCGCGTATATTGTATAAAATGTAAAAGAAAGGATGATCAGTTTTGAACTTTGGTCTTATATTTGATAAACACGACGAATTGGCCTCAATTGCTGCAAAAAAAATATAAACTTGCAATTTATCACTAAAATTCTAAAGTAATGGAATATTTCATGAAAAAAAATCCATCAAATTCAGTTTCTATTGATTTGAAAGCTTGCTAGAAAGTCTCAAAAGCAATGTAATTTCCAAAATTTGTTTTTGGATATTTTTGTAGGAAAATAACAGCTGTTATAAAATTGTATGTGAATTTATTACGGGCAGATCATAATAATTTCGAAACAGTAATACAAATGTTAATACACCAATAATTAGATATAAATGAAGACCTCAAAAGTTTGAAACTTTTCCCATGAACAAAAACTGTTCAGTCGCTTTATGGTGAAGCCCGTAAAAGAATGGGTGATCCGCATTGAATTCCATTGTAGGTTGCGGCATCGGCGCCGAGAAGCACATCATCATCATGGCTGAAATGAAAGATTTTCAGCAAATGATTTTGAAAAAAAAATGTAGTTTTCTTTATAAACTAATGATTTTGAATGAAAATGATTAAATTTAAAGAAAACAAAGAGAATAATAAATAACTAATATATTAATTATAAAAAACATGTATATAAATAAATTAGAAATACAATTTGTATGTTTCAAAGTTTTCAGAAAGTTAAGTTTTCTTGAAATTTTCCGATGAACACGAACGATTCTCTAATGACGATAAAGAACATGAACGGATGGTCAGCATTGAAGGCAAGTGGTTTCTTTGGCATACAACGGAATTGAAGTACAATACCTAAACCACAAAGAAAAATCAATCAAAACCAATAAAACTTACTGAAGTTTGTTAATTAATTATTCTACATATCGTTATTACTTTGGTTTAATGATCGAAATTTGATGAAAAGATAATAGTTCGAGTTAACTTGATTGTTAAGGTAACAATTTGTTAAGTAACAAATAACAAAAAGGTATGTATGCAACCCAACGTACTTTAATCATCATTATATAAAATGATTGTCAATGTGACATTTAATCTGTCTAATCTATGGGTCTATATTGCAAGCCTGACAACCGAAAGTTGTCTATTGAAATCCCTACGTTCGAAATCCCGACTGTATTAAAGTCACGACGCTTGAAATCCCGACTATGTCAAAATACCGACTACCATAATCCCGACAATATCGAAATCCCGATTACCAGAATCCCGACAATATCGAAATCCCGACTACCATAAAAATGTTATTGTAGAAATTTATAATAATAAAATACAGTCAGGATTTTGAAATAGACGGGATTTCGGTTGTCGGGCTTGCGATTGCCACCGCTAATCTATATATCTGTGAATTATGTGTATAAATAATTGTTAAAACCATATAGCTTCAAGTAAAGTTACGATTATCTAAATGAATTAATACCGGTTTAATTAATTATAATGGATATGACTTCATCATTTAATAGAGAATCAAATAAAGTTATATAAAATCTACTGTCATAACTGACGTATAAAATCATTTCAGAATTGTTTTCTTGGAAAAAAAATACGAATTTGATTTATTTTTTTAATACTTTTGCAGATGTCTATTAATATCGTTTACATATTTATAACAAGGCCAACGAATGCGTTTATTTTAACCGCGTACGTTTCTTTTAAATATGAGAGTTTACGCATACGGATTATTGAGATTGAAGCAATGAAAAGTTAAACAATCATATCTCTTCTACAATGTTTACATTATCTGTCAAAATTAAGTGTTCCAAATTGTTTTAATATTCGGAGACTTTTCCCATGAACAAGAACTGATTAGATTGTTCTTTGTGGATCGCGTAAAAGAAAGGATGGTCAGCTACGAATTGCAGTTCTTCCATCAAGCAGAGGCATCTTGCCATCATGGCTAAAAAATAGCAAAGGATTCCGATTTCAAAAGAAAGGAGAGGAGCACAATTTAAAAAAGCCAAACATATATTAATAACATTCGTATACAAAAACAAACAAACAAAAAAACTTAAAAGCGAGTATTAAAGCTAGGACGAGTGTTTTAAGTCCGGGTGTGGGATTTTTATAGAATCTCTAGTTTTCCGATGAACATGACGGTGTCTTTGATGTTGAGAAAGAACATGAACGGATGGTCCGCTTTGAATACATATTTCTTGTTCCTGAATGTAGGTGCGCAACCGAATCCAACTAGAACAGCTAAATAGCCCAAACAACATAAACATCTTGTGAAGATACGCAAAGAAATAAAATGATTGATCTACGATGATTCCGGTCGCAAACATTTCCCAATAAAAAGACATTCGTTTTGATGGTACAGACAAAAGAGAAAAGCCCGATCAACGTTAAAGCAATTCGTATCCGGAATGCACCTTCTGGTCCGCACAAGCATTCCTAGAAAAACGAACGAAATTTAGCCACAACACGTAATTTTGTTTACAACAATCTGGAGTCTCTAAGAATAAATAGAAAGGAAAAGCTTTTCGTACAGTTTAAGAATGAAGCGAAGAGTATAGCGAGTAAAAGCTGATGTGACTTATGAGACTTACCGGTCGCTGCTGCGGCTTCTGCTCCTTCCTCGTTGACTTCGATGAAAGCCTTCTGGATGACCTTGCTCACGTAAAGAGGCTCGTTGGGATTCGACAGAAGCCCGGATAAATCTTCGGACACGGCGAACATCTTGTCCAAACCAATCTGCGTATTAATAAGAAAAATAAGTTTATAATTATAATCTTGTTCAAGGGTTGGTAATTCTTACGTTCTTCAAGGGTTGGTTCAGGTCGATGGTGGTTTCGATCTTGAACTTGGGTAAACTAAGTTCCACCTCCATCTTGTAGTTGTCCTTGGTCAAATTGGACATATCGTAGTTGATGAGTTTCTTCTCCAACTCTTCAATTCCATCCACATCGTTGGGAAGCACAACTACCAGACTGACGTCCTGGTTGAGGTACGGAATACTCAAGACTTTAGCGTCAAGATCCGCCTTCTCTCCATAAAAGAACTTATCCTTCATGTGCATCATGTCGACTTCGACGGAATCCGTGGTGCTCGTGTAGAACTTCTGCTTTGTGGTGTTGTTCTTGTTGAACTTCTTCGCCCAATCACCTTTGAAGTAGATCGCGTTGACGAGAACCATGCGCGTCAGCGAGTTCAGAGCGTTCGGATCGATGAGATTCTTGATTTTATCCTTGGTCTTCTCCTCGACCCATCCGTTGATCGTCGATGCAGCCTTTTGGTTTTCCGCAAAGTTGACCTCGTCGGCTCCGGCGTTGAAGGATTTCAATGCAACCTCCTTGAAGGTCGGGTTCAGCTTGCATCCTTCCATCACGAACACCTTGTTGGCCATTTCCAGCGTGATGTTCTGGACTCCGTTCAAGGAAGTCATCAGCTCCTGGAAACCGGCGGCGCTGAAGCTCTTCTCCGGAATGCCAAGAACCCTTTGCATATCGTTGGCGATTTTACCGGTGGAACCCTGATGGAGGAGGGACAGGATCGTGTGCACGCTGATCGGCGAGTAAATCACGTTACCCTTCACCTGTTTCACAACCTCCTCGTACAATTTCATAGACATATCATTGTTGCCCTTGGCAATAGTTTTCATATATTCGGACCCCATTTTTACTTCCACTGCAAAAGTTAAGAGAAAACAAACATTGTAAAGTCATTGCAGCTTCAATAAAATTGTAATTAATATTAGGGTAACTATGGTAACTAAGGAGTTTCATCTTTAGTAGACATAATAAGAGATTTAATCATTTCTAGGACAAAAGAAACTATGGTACAAGCATGCACCGTTGACATATGTCAATGAAAATTTCTATATTGTTTCACAGTTAAATAATTATTGGGAGTTGTCATCATATATCAGTAATTTCAGGATTAGATGCCTGAAAGATTCATGAGGATCAGTGATCTTATGTTGGGAGCAATTTGGGGTTCCAAATTAATATTTCGTCACTATATTTAATAAAAAAATGTTCGAAAACGGGAGAAGACGGAACAAGAAGAAGATAATTTTGTTCACTCCATGAAAACGAATGTCAACAAAATTGTCAATTGGATGAATCTAATCTAAAATATTTTACTTTCCTTGTACATGATTCAATACAAATATTATCAAACAATAATCGTAATTAAAAATAAGACACTTTCAAATGTTGATAATTGATTAAAAAAATATTATCAGATTGCATCAAATTTTACATGTTACAATCGCAATTATTTCAATGCAATTCTAGATTTATTCGAAATGATTAGATATTATTATTGTTTAAAGTAAATTTAAAAAAAAAAACTTATTTTTTTGCCCAAAAATTAATAACAGCCTACTTGCTTAACTACAAGTAACTTGTCAAGTAGCTATAGCAACCTAATTTGGTACATTTTGCACATTTTAATACTTTTGTTTAAATGCTAATTACTTGTCAAACTTCGCGTTTAAATGTAATAAAACAATTATATTATATTAATATTAATAACTTGATGCCGTTTGTATGAAGGTAATCCCAAAAATTGATTCATTTTTATTTTTATCAGACTGATACACATATTTACAATGAGCTTATCCTCTGCCAAATCGTACGACGATTACCAAGAATCATTGATTTGGCCCACTTAACAGAAAAAAAATGATCAATATCGTTATCGCAACCGATGGATTACATCAGTCAAAAAGGTATAAGCTAATGCTTTCAACAAATCATTAAAAAGATTACATGAAATATTTAATAACGCCCACAACAATCCAGTTGGCAAAAGTAATGCGTAAAAAGCAGAACATTTTTGTATGGTGTAGACTACTTTCATAGCGTCTTGAAGATTCTCCATTGGTTAAGGCGTTAGCAAATAACAGTAAATTTAACTGTTTATTATTTATTGTAGAAAAAAATAATAATACAAGAAGAGTGAAAATAAACACGAAAAACTCACGAAATTCGTATAAATTGTTAATTTTATCAATTAGAAAACGCCGAACTGAATGTTATTTATATACACGAAGAGATAATTAATGAAATAGCATACCAACAAATTTTGTGTATCAAATCGACAATAACACCTCGAACGCACTACACGGAATGAGCTTAGTACTCAAGTATAAATATATATATATACTTAGATAAAAAACTTTTATCGATTCCAGTGAATTTTTCCTATTACTGATTCACGTTCTAAAATAACTCGAAGCTCACAGCCGACCACAACAATAAACAATATGTGTGAGTCATCACACTCGTTACGCCATCAATTGCATAAATTCCTGCAAAATTGCAATATTGAACTATATTTAAGTATTAACAAAATTTGATAATAACTGGACTCTGTGTAATGATAGCGGTCTAAATCACTTTCGTAGGATGCAAATGTATCTATTTTTAATTGCGTAAGAAATAAACTCGTCATGTAAAATGTTCGTTTGGTTGTCAACAATAGAACTTTACTGCTGCGCTTATCCTGATACTTTACAGTAAATATTGCATTTATTATAAACTATTGAACAAACAATGTCATAATATATTTCGCGATATTGTATCACGTTCAAATATTTGAAGATAATCTGTATACATTTGATTGCGCATACGGTTTAAACCAAGGTACAGTAAAACATTTTTTTTGTGCGGTTTCTTTTATCTACCGCACAAAAAAAATATTTCATAGATTCTTAGAAAGTGCATCGAAACTAAATAAATAATTAAATTACACATGGAAACAAATTTTAAAAACATTTAATTTCTCATTGTA